GAAACATTAAAGAATTTGACATCATAAAAAGCAAAATTTATGAATTATGGGAATATATAGAGTGAGAATTTCATACCAAAGGCACATAAAATCTTTTTTAATAAAATCATAGAAAATAAGTTCAAAATCTAGGAAAAGAGAACTCTATCCAACTATAAGGCACACAAGAGACCAAATAAATGGGATCATAAAAGGAAGTACCAATATCATTCATAGTTAAAACATTGAATATACGGAACAAACATGTGTACTGACATCTTCAAGAGAGAAGGGCTGGGGCACATATAAAGGCAGGCATAAGAATCACTTCGGACTTCTCAGTCAAAACTTTTGAGACCAAGAAGGACTTGGAAAGACTTGTGAAAGGTGATAACTACCAACCCAGGTTTATATGTCCAGCACATATTTATCTTGATTTATTTATCTTGATTTATCTTGATAGAAGGACAAAGAAAACCTTTCCATGATAAGAGCAGATGAGTGTTTATGATTATCAAGGAAGTCCTACAGAACATAGTGGAGTAAATACTTTAGATTGAGGGCAAAAATAAACACATTCAAGAGGCTACTAAGGGAAATATAAAATAGGCTAACACATCTGCTAAATAAAAGATGAATAATATGAATGTATCAAACACAACAAAATGACAAGAATAAATGCTATTCCATAGTAACTTTGAATATTAATGATTGCAATTCACTTATCAAAGGACATGAAGTAGAAGAATGGACTAGAAAGAAGAATCTTGCTGTCTCCAAGATACATAATTCTTTCCATCAAAGGGGTAAACAGCATCTTATGGTAAAAGCAGGACAAAAACAGGTCTTCCAAGGAAATGAGGCCAAAAGCACACAGTGCTATCTTAATATCTCATAAAATTGGATTTAACATAGATCTCATCAGCATGTATAAAGGCCACTTCATACTGATCAAGAAACAATCTGCCAAGAGGATATAATTCTAAACAGACACACTGAGCAGAGGCCTATCAAGTTTCATAAAGCACATTCTACTAGATACCAAGACATGAATTAATTTATATATAGTCAAAGTGACTTAATACTTTACTGTCCCCATTAGATCATCCAGATCCCCTAAACAAGCAATCCTCCCCAAACACAACCAAACAAACATTAAATGATACCACAGATCAAATGTATCTTATAGGCATCTACAGAAGAGTCTGCCCAAACTCAGAAGAATACACATTCTTCCCAGAAATACGTGTAACTTTCTCTAGAATATATCACATATTAGGAACAAATCAAATTTCAGCAGATACAGAATAATTAGAATAATGTTTATTGTTTTATCAGACCACAGTGGAATAAGGTTAGAAATGAACAGCAAGAGAAATATATGGACTTATGGGACTAAATGATACCTTGTTAAATGATGGATGAATCATTGAAGAAATAAAGAAGGAATTAATAAATTTCCAGAAGTAAATGAAAATGCAGTGTACAAACTTGTAGGATATGATGAAGGCAGTCCTGAGGGGGAAGACTGTGGCTTTAAGTACAATCAAATGCCTGGAGAGATGGTTCTATAGTTAAGACTGAGACTGCTTGCTGTTCCTGAAAAGGACCAGACTGTGGTTTCCAGCAGATTACAACCATCTGTAACTCCAGTTCCAGGACATTGGGTGCCCTCTTCTGACCTCTATGGGCATTACTCATACACACAAATAATAAAATTAGTAAATGAATACTTAAAAAGAGTTCCCAAACAATCTGATGATGTACCCCAAGACAACGGAAAAGTAAAAACTAAGTAAAATTAACCCAAAGACAAAAGAAAAGATACAAATTAATAATATTAGAAACAGGAAGTGTACTATTACAACAGCTATCAAGAATTTCAGGCAGGTGTTCAAAATTTATTTTCCACTAAACTGGAAAACCTAAAATAACTGAATGTTTTTGTGGATTCATAGGACATACTACAATTAAATCAAGATGAAGGTAAATAAACAAATCTATAACAAGCAATGAGATTGAGGCAACAACTAAAAATCTCCCAACCAAAGACTGTTCCTGACCAGATGTATTCTGCACAAAATTCTACCAGGACTTTAAAACAATACTTCAAAAATTATTTCAAAGAAAAAGAAAATGAAGGGGCATTTGCAACCTTTTAAGAAACTATCATTATCCTTACATTAAAACTAGATAAAGATATAACAACAACAAAATTATAGGCTGATTTACCTGATGAACATATATGCAAAGTTTCTTAATGTAACACTTTAAAACTGAATGCATTAACACATTAAAACAGCATGATCAAATTAGTTTTATTCTAGGCATACAGTCACCTTCAACATATGGAAGTTAATAAATATGATTTTTCACATACATGAACTCAGGGAATAAATCACATGATCATCTCTGTAGTTGTAGACATAATAAAATACCTGGAGAGACTAGAAATGGTGAGAATACAACTCCACATGGTGAAATCTGCAAATGACAAACTGATAGCAATCATCATGCAAAATGCAAAAAAAAAAAAAAAAACCTTATAACAGTCCCACTATCATCAGTGACAAGATGCCCATTCCCTGCATCCCTATTCAATACACTGCTTGCAGTCTTAGTTAAAGCACTACAAAGGAAATAAAATAGGAAACAAAGAAGTCAAAGAATCCATATTGGTGGAAGCTATGATTCTACCCATGAGAGAATTGTGCAAATTTTTCATTTTAGGCAGAGTTAAACATTTTTTCAATATAGCTTTTAAAATATGTAGAATTGGCAATGTTTTTCTTGGGGACATTTTCCTTTCCAGGTGATTGGCAAGTCAGTTTGTATTGTCCCTTTTAAGGGTAAGGAGAGGGATGGACACAACATGATACAATGTATATCTTTGGGTTTTTTTCTACAGACCTCTTGACCCACAGTGATCTTTTAAATTTTAGGGCTCTTGGAACCAAATTTAACTAATTAATTAATGCCATTCTGTGCAGCTCAAAATGACACATTTCATTTCTTTGGCCAATATTTAAGAGTCCTGCATTTTTATTCATTGGCTTGATAAGCTATTGGTTGTGAAGGAGAGGTTCAGTCTTCATGTCCTCAAGTCCTGCCAGTATCTAGCAACTTAACAGTAACACTACAAATGTAGTCCTGCATACAACACACTACATGAGGGCCTTAACTTTATAGACCTATTTCTTAATAGTTTATAAGTTTATTTTGTTACTTCCCAAATACAAATAAATTTTGTTTTCTTTGTGTAGCTCTTGTTATTTAATACCCATTGGAGTTCTGACACTTAGCTCCAGTGAGGGGTCTTGTAATATATAAACTTTTATTGATGGTCTGTATAAGCCATCAAATATTTATTGCAGTCCAGTAAAGTAACTGGAAATCAGAGTTTTTAAATTTAAAAGTCCTAAAAGCAGTAACTGATGGAATGTGGAACTCATGGTATTGCTGTATTAGGAATCTCAATTGAATTGTCTCCATTGTATTAGCCCATGGGCATGTTTTTGGGAGCATTTTCTTGATTGATGATTGATTTTGGAGGGTCGAGCCCCCTGTGGGTGGCTGTTTAACAGAATTAGCTGAGAAAGTCAGAGAAAGCAAGCCAATTGGTGTTCCTCCATGGTCTCTGCTTCAATTCCTGTCCACCAAGTTCCTGATTTGAGTTCCTGTCCTAACCTTTTCTGATGGTGGACTGTAAGTGTAAGAGGAAATAAAACCTTTCCTTCTCCAGGTTGGTTTGGTCATAGTGTTTATCACAGCAAGAGAGAAACCAAACTAGAACAGCTCCAAAGAGAATGTTGGTAATTTGGGTATTTCACTTCTTATCTCCCAAATACTTTAAAGTTACATGCTTATTTGAGAATGTTTTAGTGAGTGGATAGCATTATAGTACTCCATAAAAGATGTGTATATTTCATAAATACTTAAATTTACCAATGTTTTTCTTAAAATATGATAAGACTTTTTTATACACAATATTTGTATATTTTAAGGCCTTTATTCATGTTTCTTTGTTAAGTAGTTTTACTTTGTCTTAAAATAAATGACAATTCAAATTAGTAGTATTTCTTTCAAGTATGTAACAATGTATCAGGTTTTAGGACAGCTGCTGCCTCTGTGTTGGATGATGCTATTTCTCTTGCATCTTAACATTGTCTTGAGAGCAAAAGGTTAAATATAATGTGGTAAGGAAAGAGCATTTTCACAAATTCAGATCTTCTCCTTGTGGTGTCCTATCTTGAGAGACATCTTTTAAATGTAGCAGAGTTGAACCTAAATGATCAAATAAATGTTTCTAAGGGTTATTTTAAATAACTGGAAAAATAAAAAATAAGCTCCTTTGCTATGAAATCTGCTTTCTTTCTGTAGTTGCACATCTTTTTTCCTTATGAATATAATAGAGTGTATTTTCATCCTCAAATATTATCATAACAAAATTGATGATAACAAAAATTTTTAATGACCAAAGATGTTGCTCAAAAATCCCAACTGACCCCCTGATATAGACCGTGCATTTATATTGAAAATAGAATGTGAATAGAGAATAAACCACACCCCTGGTACTTACACATATTTGAAAATTTCCTTTATAACTCTGTGACTCAGATGAGCTCTTATAGTTTTTCCTGATTAGAAAGCAGTTGGTTAGTGCTGGGAAAGATGGCTTAGTAAGTTAAAGCTCTTATCATTCAAACATGAGGATCTGAGTTTGAATCCCCCAGCACACACATAAAATAGCCAGATATATCTGAGTTCCTGTAAGTCTAGTGCTCCCATGGAAAGATGGAAGCAGTGGTAGGAGAATCCCTAGAAGCAGAGGTTCAGCCAGCTTGGACCCTGTTTCAAAACAAGATGGAAGGTGAGGACAGACTGGTAAGGTGGTCCTATGACCTTCACACTTGCACCAGGGAACAGAAATGTACCCCTTAACATGAGCACATGCATGCATATACAAAAAAATGTGTTAAGTTAGGAATATTACCATTAATATGCATCTCTTTTTATTACAGAAGAAAGTAATCAGGAAACACCACAAATGAAGAAAAGTTTGAGTGAAAAGGTTTCTCTCTATAGAGGTGACATCACGTTACTAGAGGTGGATGCAATAGTCAATGCGGGTGAGTGGGCCACTTTTCCATATTCTCTTTATTATGCCTTTAAGATTCAAAACAATTTTTATACTGTTTGTGTATAGCAATGCTACCAATCTTTTCCTTTGTGATTAAAAACATTGAGGACTTATTTTATGTATCTGATTAAGAGTCTTAAACTGCTGGAGAAGTAATGACTTGTTTTAAAGAGTTCTTCAGGAAGAATTTTTGTAGTTATATGATTACTGGTTTCATGCTTGAGTTACTGGGAAGTAATAGTTCAGCTAGCTTTTCCTTTCCTCAGAATTAAGTTCTAAAGGTACACTTAGATTGTATCAGCCAAAAGGGAAGTGTGGAGAAATTATTTCTCTGATTTGAAAACCTCAGTTGTTTGTAACTTTTTGTTTTTATTATAAAATGCATTTACTGGCATATTTTAATGTATAATTTTCTTCTTTGAATATGGAAGGGAATATGACAGCATGTTATTTATGTTGTTTTTGTCTCCTATGTATTTTCTTGTGTTGTTATATATCAAAAGATGTAACTACTGTGATTCTATAAGGATAAATATTAATAAGTGGGAATTATGACTGTGTTTTAGAAAATTAAACCCCTCTTATAGGTTGAAAGTGTCAATCCAAAGTAGGTTCTGACTTAGGTAAAGGCAGTCTTTAATCTCAGACTCTTTAATGGAAGAGGATGGTAGCCTTGGACAGCTGAAGAGAATTGAAGTAGGAAGAGTTTTTGACCCAGAAGACCTTTAAGTATCTAAAAAGATCAAACAGAAAAGAAAGTTATAAAACAAGTACAGAAATTTATTTGGGAAATTGAATGATAGGCTGAGATAGGAGCTGTTAGAGAGTGGTGGCTTTCCATTAATCACAGTGGCTCAAAATTCAAGGGTTTAGAACAAGGAGAGAAGATGGACTTCAGCTTGGTAAAATCTGTGACCTGGGTAAATGGAGACAGGATTGGAATTTGGACTGTCTGTGTTGGCCTTGGCAGAGGATACAACATGGTCACCTGTGAATTTTCTGTAAACCAAGAGGAAGAATGCTGATTTACAGTTAGTCATCATCTCCCAGGACTCAAAAGAATAGGTGGGATTTCCTGACTGCTATTGTTTTCCAGAGTGCAAGGGTCAGGTAAGTTCAGTGTTGTCTCAAGGTTACCTGTGGTGATGTCAATTCCCACAGGGTAGTAGGAAAAAGCCTTGGAGGTTAACAGAGTAAGACCTGGAAGATTCTGATTTAGCATATGGCAGAGTTCTTGGTCTCTAGCAGGTGGCTGGGTGTCTTGTGAGCTTCCTCTTCAGAATTGGATGTCAGTTGCTTTGTAAAGTACACACATTGCTAACCAGGGCTTAGTTTTCTTTCTCTTCTAATGCTTCTTTGCTTCCTTTCTCCTTTGATGTCTTCTGTTGCCTTTTGTGATGTTATTTCCTATTCAAAAAGGAGTGTGGATAGTTTCGTCTCTACCCAATGTAGCTGCCTCTTTTTGGTTTGAGTTTTACCCTTCTGTTACCTCACAGGCTCAGATCTTCCTTACATGTAGACCCTATGGGTTGTTTTTTGTGGCCTTCAGTTTCAAACGCTTTTCCTCTGGTCTATGGGGCCTATGGAGAAATCAGAGTCTTGGAAAATATCCATGAACACTGGGACTGAATTTGGTTAAATATCTCTGTGGTTAATGATTGAGCAATGATTTACTATGCCAGAATTTCTATAAATGAATGAACTTTAATTATAACATAATTAAGATTTAAAAGTTTTTATAAATGTTCCCCAACATTCCAGTATGTTTTTGAAATTTTAATTAAGCAATTCTACTTGCCTCCTTTTCTCCTTCTTAACATAATATTGAATTTACCTTGTTCACTTGGTAGTAACAGTAACTCTTTCTGGATTCTATTACTCTGTTGTTCTCCATGAAGTACATAATGGTACCCTCCTTGTTTACCCTCTCACCACACAAAGCGATGTCTTGACTTTATGCTTTTAATAGATATTCAAGACTGCCACCTCGGATCATGCTGGTGTTCAAGGGTCATGCTACTTTAGGGCTATATAGATCTGGGTGGCCTGCATTGACATCTGGGGCCATGGGGACAACTGGGCCCAGGCTGCTATCTAGGAACATGTCTGGGTCTGTGGTCCTACTACAGCTGGGGTCTGTGTTGATGCTCCTGGCCCATATTGCCACACAGATGCACAGTGTAAAGGCCACAACCTGTGACCATGTGGGTGCCTTTGTGCTGTGCTGCTACTGGGGTGAAGCTCATTTACATGGCCAGCTCTATTACCTGCAGTCATGGTATCATCCAGGCCAGGGCTGCTGCTGAGGGCCCTGTCTGGATCCATAGCTTGACAGAAGCCGTAGTCTCAGTTGATGTCTGTGGCTCCTATTACCACCATGGACAACTGGGGTCTGGTCAGCCACCTGAGACCATGTTGGTGTCTGAAGATCATGCTGCTGCCAAGGCCATACTGATTTGGGTATCCTATGTTGCTATCTGGGGTTATGGTGGCATTTGGGCCTGAGCTGCTGTTGAGGGCCATGTATAGGTCCATGGTCCTGCCGCAGCTGGGGTCTGTGATTATGTCCATGGCCTGTGTTATCACAAGGGGTTATTGAAAGCATGCTGTGCTAGCCCTAGCCTTCACTGGCCCTGAGACCTTCCCTCCAGGGGAGAGCTGACCCTCCACACTCAGGAAATATGGTCCCACCCCCCACCACAGACATGTGCTTCATCTGGGCATGTACACTAGAGCTGACCCTGTGGTCAGGGACATAGGAGAGTCTACCCTGAGGGTGTAAGAGAAAGGAAGCTGACACCGCCCACCCCACCCCCTTGCTATCTACAACAGGCAGGAGAGCTGACCCTGGGACAGGAGCATGAGAGAACTATACCTGCCCCTCACCAGCTGCAGCACACAAGCACATCGGAGAGCCCACCCTGCACCCCACCTGGGCAGCACACTAGAGCTGACCCAGTTGTCAGGGGTGCAGGTGAGCCATCCCTGAGGGTGTGAGAGGAGATCTGACCCCACCTCCCCACTAACCTTATGTACCCTCTACAGCAATGGGCCCTGCACCTCACCTGGGCAAAACAGTAGAGCCTGGCCTGGTGGTAAGAGTGTGGGGGACCTGGAATTGAGGACCCGAGAGCAAGAGAACTGGCCCTGCCCCTTGCTGTAGGCTGAATTGGGTGAGATAGCAAAGGTAGAGCTGGAGAGGTGAAAATACGAGAGAGCTGGCAGGCTGACCAACTCAGCTACTACCCAGGCCCAGAACCAGGGCTATGATTAGCCCACCCCAATATCCACCCTATCTATAAACTATTGAAACATATGAAGGGGACAAACATATGGATCCAAAACAGCAGGCTCTCCATGACACAGAACAACAGTTGAGAGAGCCAGAGGAAGACAGAGTCCCAGAGCCAGATCAATGACTAGTGACAATGAACACTTGCAAATGATGATGAGTGGACTAAAGGCTACACTGTGTGACTCAATGGGCCACACTACAGCTTCCACAACACAATGAGATTCTTTCCCTTGTTTTGTTTAGTTTTTGGTTTTTCTTTTAAAGTTTTTTTTTTTTTTGAGGGGGTGATGTTACAAGGGCAGAGGGCAAATGTGAAGGGATGGGGAGAAAAGTGGCATCAGAATGCATCATGTGAAATCCACAAAGAATCAAATCAAATAAAATCATAAAAAAAGAGATACTCAAACTGTGTATGCGTTAAATTGAACTTCATACAACTGAATTATGATACCTATAATAGTGTATTCTGCACTGGGAACTTGATAAAGTGAAGCAGTTTGGCTCTGGTTTTAAAAATATTTAATCAATCAATAAAAATATTTATTGGGTAATTTTTATTGATGTAAAACATTGTTAGAAAAACATCCATAAGTCACTATTTTGCTGCTGCTTCATTTTATCTTGCCTCTCCTTCTTTGTGTAGTTTTCTCATAAATGTTGCACAGTGTACATGATTATGATGATAAGATTCTGAAGATGAGAATCAGCTTTTATAGCCCTCTACCTCTCTGGCTGTGATGATTCTAATTTGGCTGTGTTCACATGGGCTGGCTCATCAGGTAGTTCCCATGTGGATGGGAAAGAAATACCAAATGTACAGGTAATGGCTCTATTTACAGCTCTCTGCTGTGCTGTTTGTTGGCGTAGTATGAAAGGAGAGGCACAGCTGTTACCTTTCGGGGATACAAGGCAACATGACCGAAAACTCCAGAACCACCTGCAGCAAGAGGCAGGCTTCCAGTCAAGACGGAAAAGCTGCCCCACTGTCACTTTCTGCCTGACTGCCAAAGTTCTTCCATGATCACATTAGTACATAGAAGCAACTGATTCTTACAGTTCTCAGTTAGAAGGCCCGGGCAGTCTGAGGGACCTCTGACAGTGGAACTAGGCTGTATCCCTGGTGCACAAAAGGCCTTTGAGAGCACATTCCCCATGGAGGGATACTCCCTTAACCTAGAGGCAGAAGGAAGGGCCTAGACCCTACTCCAAATGATTTGACAGATTTTGCTGATCCTTATGGTTCTGAATGGAAGGATTTGCTAGTTTAAAGTTCTTAAGTATTTGTCACCTGAGATAAGCCTCTTCTTTATTCTTCCTTCTAGGAAGCTGGACTTATGTGTGTTTTAATAAAAATAAGTTTTAATAGGTATCATATTGGCACACATTAAAAATCAGGCAGATGTAAGTTCCATGTTAGGTTTTCATACTTAGGACTGTTTTATTTTTAAATTTTATTTTGAAGTAATTATAGTAAATTGCAGGGAAAGAAAGAGTTCTATGTAACCTTCGTAAGCCTCTAGCAATGGCAGTATCATGTAACCTACAGTATGAGACCCAGGCAATTGATACTTATATATTCTTAACAGTGTTGATAAAAGTATGTTCAGTGTTGCAAAGAGACTACCACTTACTTGAAGTGTCTGGACAAAGAAACATAAAAGAGGGTATACTTGGAAGAGCAAACACACTGAGAC